TTGAGGAGAATAGGTATTAATTCTTTTTTGAATATTTTGTAAAATTCGCCTGTGAAGCCATCTGGTCCAGGACTTTTGTTTGTTGGAAGCTTGTTGATTACTGACTCAATTTCTTTGGTAGTATGAGGTATATTTTATTATCCCTATTGACAGATGAGGAGATTGGGCCACAGAGAGGTGAGGTAACTTACCTGAGACTCCACTATAAGTAAGTGAGCTGGGATTCGACCCCAGTAGTTATGGCCCTGGGGTCCGGGCTGGTGACAGCCCTTTCTTCCACTTCCCACAGTGCCTCTCTACCACCTGTGACAGGGGACTGCCCCATCCAGACTTTGGGTTCTCTCCGTGCCCCACACTCGGGGGGTGTGGCTGTGCATGTGGGGGGCAAGTGTAAGCCTGTTCCTTATCCCTAGACACATGTCTGCCTGCCATCTCAGAGCACCAGGGTGATGGCTTCCTGACTATGTCCAGAGCCCATCCCCCATCCCCAGAGAGAGGTGATGGAAAGCCCCCACCCCTATCCAGGTGCCTCTCCCATTAGACTTGTTCTAAATGACAAAGCAGGACGCTGGGTCAAACACACCAAATGTCACCAGTGGTTCTTTAGGACTGTGGCGTTGTGAACAAGTCCTCTTTTTTTTCTTCTTTTTCATAGTTTTCGATATCTTACAAAGTGTCTACAATGAGCACATTAATCAGAAAAGCAACTTTTTAATTATAAAAATAAACTTTGGTCTCACAACCTAGACATGAATCCAAGATGTGTCTTTACCAAGTAGAACTTGGCGGACACCTCATCTCTCTTATGGGGCTGAAGTCACTGATGCTTGCCCTGCATGACCTTTCAAGGGGGTCTTTTCTCAGAACCAAGGTGCTGCCCTCTTCTTGTTCAAGCCCTTCCCTGCACAGTGACAGCTCATTAAAGGGTCCTCCATGCTCCTCTCTGCCAAGCTACCACCCAAAGACCCATGGATTGGATCTTTTCACTGAATTAAGAGCTTCTTTTCCATAAAAAGGACACAGATGACATAAACATAAACAGTGCTCCCAATTTGCATATCTATTAGGTCTAAGCTAATCATTTCATCCCCAAATGCATGGATTGCAGTGCTTGCTCAGTACAGTACGAGCGTTTCATTCCCGTCCTGGCACAGGCCATGTGAGCAGTGTGACAATGTGCCTGAGGTTTCTGCTGTATCTCCCAGCCGTGCCTTGTTCCCGATCCACCTGGGCTATGAACATCTACCAGGGTCTGTGCCCACCACTGGCCTCTTAGCTGAAGCCGCCCCAGCGGCTGTGCCATAGTCTGGGTCTGGGATCCTAAATCCAGCCGGGAGGTCGGCAAGATCCAATAAGCAGAGGGTTAACAATTCATGGAAGTTTGCAGAGGAGGCCGGGGTAGGGGCTGAGTTCGGTGGACAGCGCAGGGGGCCATCAGGGTATATTTAGGTGTGTGTTTGTTTTTACAAAACTCCATGGACACTGGGCTCCTGGGGCACGAGCAGTGCCAGCTCGGAAAGGAGAACAGGGAAGAGCCTACATTCCTGTAAAACCCGTGCAGTTACTGACCGAGCCACTCCTGCAGAGTTTGGGGTCCCAGAGAAGGACTCGCCGCTGCTACAGCGGTCCATGGCATAGAGATGTCAAGTTAGGAAGCTTTGGCAGAGGTTTCCTGGAAAGCTCAAATCTGACTTTCAGTCACGGCTGCATCCCAAACCCTGCGGGCTTTACCGTGGAGATGCATCAGAGCCAATCAAATGACCGGTTGTAGACTGAAGAGTGTGTGGACAGAAGTAATGCACGTGAGAAGATCTCGCACAGAGCCTGGCACACAGCGGACCTAATAAAAGGCGACTGAGCTGAATAGGTAAGTCCCTGCTGCCATGCACAGAAGAGGGCTCTGAAACAAGGCTCTAGAACAGAGGATTCTCTGTGTCCCTCGCAGAGACAAGGCAAACAGGTACAGCCTGCCTGATGCCCCAACAGAGCACGATGCCCCAAGTCCCCCTCCTGTCAGACTCTCTGCCGCCGCAAATGCAGCGTACCTGGATAAATCACACTAAGTCTGCACAGTCACCTGAATATCAATGTTAATGAGTCTTCTTATTGCCTCACCATGCCCCTCCTTCAGGACCCGCACTGACCCCAACCCACTGGAAGCCACACAGCATGCCCTGCGGGCTCCATCCACAGGCTCCTGGCTGGGAGAAGGAGAAGGAAAGGAGGAGGAGCAGGAGGAACAAAAGCAAAGAGCAGAGCATATCGCTTCCTGGAAAGACTGGCATGCTGCCACTCTGAACCCCAGGAATTACTGCTGTTGAGCAAGAGGTCTGAGGGACACCAGAGCAGCCTCTCGAGGGCAAACCTGGGCTGATGGGTCGAGAGGCTAATTTTATCCTAGTAACCGGCATCCTTCCCGACTTCACTGACAACACCTGCGCTTTCCACTTAGCCGCAGCCTGGTTCTTAAGACGGGCTGGTCTCGGCCGATCATTCGAAGCATTGTTTGTGCCTTGTCTTATGAAACAAAGGGGCTTAAACTTGGGCCACTTGGGCCTCCTTCCACTGACAAACCCTCATCTTGTCCTGGGTGTGCCAAGAAAAGAGATTCTTGTCAGGCAGGTACCTAATTAATGGACTGGAAAAGAGTTGAGGTGTTAAATATAAAAAGAAAAGAGAAGGACTGGTTCCCATAAAACCCCTTTGATCAAGGTGTCTCCCCTCACTTCATTCCTGCCTTAGAACATAAGGCCATGTCATTCTTTCCATCACTTAATAGCTTCCTGTCCTCTTGTCTCTGGTGTTTGCACAAGACTCTGAGAGGGAACTTAATAGAAGTACAATGGGGGAGAGAAAATGTGGATACATTATTTATAATTTGCTGCCGCCTGAAATTTCATCCAAGGTCTACTTGTCTTTTGGAGACGTGAATATAAATGAGGAAACACATACTCCCCACAGAGCAACAGGGACCTGGTGAGATGAGCTTCTGAGAGGCAGATTTCATTGTCTTTTTTAATACTATAAAAAGCAAACAAGGCGCTCACTAAAGCGTGTCCTCAGAGACACTGAACATTCTAAAAGACGTTGCCTTGACCTTGAGGTTAAGTGAAGACAGTCACTTGCAGAGGTTCCCAGAGATGGGTAGAGTTTACTTGTTTGCTTTTGCTCCTGTCCCCGTTGTCCCGCCTCCAAGCTGAGCTGCTCCCTGGGACTTTACGGGAAGATGCCAGGAGTATAACACAAGCTTCGGTTTTAGAGGTTGTGACAATTAATGAAGATTGGCAAGCCCTGGGCTCTGGGGCCATAGATGGTTGATCATGCCACTCTGCATAGTTCTCAGTTAATAGTTAGGGTTCTATTCAGGTTCTGCGTTTCATCTTGGGTGACTTTTGGTAGAGGAGGGTTTTCAAGGAATTGGTCCATGTCATCCAAGGTGTTGAATTTATTTAGATAGAGTTGTGTGTACTGTTCAATAGGACAGGAACGTGTGATCCCTCGAGAGGCGGAGCAGTGGGTTTTGTCAGTAATACCACCTGCCATTGGTCATAAGATGGCATTTTGAGTGTTGTCAAAGGATCTTATATGTAGCTACATACAGAAATTGACCTGGCCCAGTTTTAGTCATGTTGCCCTAGATGTTTTCAGAAAATCTAATTTTAATTTCCCTTTTCATAATCATAGGCGGGAACATAGTGTCCACAGGGTATCATACATTGAACAAATACTGGCTGAGCATCTACTGTGGATTCAACACTGTCCCAAGTGCTGAGGGTAGAGTTAAGGACAAACTAAAACGGATGACTACTCTCATGAAACTTACATTCAAGGGGTGAGGCAGTGGGGACCAGACAAAAGGACACAGCGTCATTTCAAGTATTGAAAAATAAACAGAGGGACGAAATAGGGACAGATGTGAAGAGCTAACTTCTAGGACAGCCCCTGTCCTAGAAAGGCTTTCCTGATTGTCACTTGCTGCTTCCTCCCCCTAACCCAAGACTCTGGTCTCAACTGGGGCGGTCAGGAAAGGTCTCTCTGAGCTGAGACATTTGAGCCAGGACGTAAATGATGAGAGTGAATCCGACAGGAGCACCCTGGACCTCGGGGGAGCTGACGACACCACCCTGGCGGAGGAGTGCGTTTCGCAGGTGCCGTAGATTAAAAGAAAGCCAGTGAGAGAGGGGGAGGAGTGCAAGGCAGAGCCAGAGCACGCAGGGCTGTGGGGGCCCTGGTAAGGGCTTGGGATTCGATTCTAACTGCAAGAAGCTATTTCAGTTGGAGTCATTGCATTGGAGAAGCCCCTGGAGGGATGTTGGCAAGTGAGAGACAGGATGAGATGGTATCGCATGTATATGCTGAAAAGATCACTGTGGTTACAATATGGAGAATGGGTACAAGTGGGGCCAGAATGGCAGGAAGAGACCAGGTAGGAGGCATGACCAAACCCTAGCCATCTCCTTGCCATATTGAACCAAGAGGGGCCAGGCTGGCAGCTGCCAGTCTGTGATCAAATCCGCTGTGGAGTTGGGTTTCCCGATGTAAGTGAATCCAAGGAATCAAGGCAAATGATGTCAGAAAGTTTCTCTGCTTGTAGGGTGCCTTTAGCCAGTCTTTAAAGGGAGACTTGGAAGCCTGATGGGTAAGAGGCAGGTGGTCTGCAAAGCTCGGAAACCTCCCTCAGCAGCTCTGCTTAAGATGGAGACATCCAAGCTGTCTGTTGCTCCGCGATTCTCTGTTCCCATCATCCCCTAGAGCAGCGGTTCTCAACCTGTGGGTCACAACCCTTTTGGGGGTCGAACGACCCTTTCACAGGCGTCGCCTAAGACCATCGGAAAACAAAACGATATTTACATTACGATTCATAACAGTAGCAAAATTAGAGTTATAGAGTAGCAACGAAAATAATTTTATGGTTGGGGGGTCACCACAACATGAGGAACTGGATTAAGGGGTCGCGGCATTAGGAAGGTTGAGAACCGCTGCCCTAAAGGCTGTTGCCACCTCTCCTGGAGACCCACTCCTACCTCCTGCGTGGGTCTTGCCTCTTGTCGCACCCCCACCTGATTCATTCTCCACACCACAACGAGAGCAACCTTTCTAGAAACCGGAGCTTAACATCCATCGCTGGGCTCTTCCGCCTTTTGCCTTCAGGAGAAGGCCCAGCTCCTTGAGGACCATGGTCCAGCCCCTGCTCGCCTCCCCAAGGCGCTCTCCCATCTACCCAGTTCTTGCTCTGTATCCTGGCTTAACCTACAGTTTCCCAAGCTGGCCGTGTTTTCTCACTGGCCTGAAACACCCTTCTCCCACCAGCCTGTGGCTCATTTCTACGTCAGTTCTTAAAACAAGGAGCCCTTTATGATTGGCCCTCGCCAGCCCCTGCCCCCTCCCAGGCCCCACTGCTCGCCCGCCCCCACCAGCCCCAGTCTTCATTGCATGCCCATCTCCACGTTTTGTCAGCTCCCTATATTTCTCTCTTTTCCAGAGCTCGTAGAATTTGGGAGTATATTTGTCTGTTTCTCCCACCAGAACGTGAGCAACCTGAAAGCTGGGACCATATTTTTTTCTCCTTTATATTTCCATTTCTGAGCCCAGTATTTGGAACCCCACAGACACTTCCAGTGTGTTTGTTGAATGAATATGTAAAAGAATAAACAGGTGTATGAGCTAGAAGTTGCTGGGAAGGAGGCTAAGGTGGTAGGTTTGAGAGCCCTTGTGGACTGACTGGGTAACTTTGCCCTCTCCATGGCCTCAGACTGCCCCCCACAAATGTGCCCCCTGCAAACCCACTTCTGGGAGAAACAGATCTAAGTCCTGGTGGCCAGAGGTGGTCACCTGTGCGTCTGTGGAGCAGCACACTGCTCTGCAGTTCGAGAGAGGCCCGCTGAGCCTGTTCTCAGAGGGAGGTGCTGACATCTCGGCTTTGGTCCTGATACTAAGGCCGTAAGGGGAGGCAGTGGACATTAACTCTGACCATTTTAAACACTGTATCCAAGAACGCAACACAAGTAAGGGACAGGCAGGGACTGAGAAGGTCCCTTCCTTTACTCCCAGTCTATGGGGAGCTGGCTGATTGCACCGTGTCACACAGCTCACTTCACTCCACTCAGCATTCAGCTTTCAGATGCCCAACACAAACCAATTTCGGAGCAATTCTTCCGGCAAGTAGCCCAGTCCTCTTGATCTCACAATTACATCTAGAAACAAGCATGAGATATTCAGTGCCCCGATCACTTGGCATTGCTTTCCTCTTAACTTGGTAATCGCCACAGCCTGTGCTAAAAGAAAAAAAAAATTAAGGCCTCTTTGTCAAGCCAGCTCCCCGTTATTGCGCTAACGGGAAGAAAAGCCTTCCAGTTTTGCTCTTGGTCCTAAAATTTCTGCCTTGGGAAATATTACTGGGATGATCTGTTAGGGTCCAAGGTGAGTTTCTGATGATATTAGATGTTTTGACATCCAGAGAGCTTGGGATGCCTGAAATCTGCCCTCACAATCCCCTAAAACTGTCTGAATCACAGTATATATACCCAGCGAACACAGCCCAATGGGAATCAGCGTTGTCCTCATTATTAGCTAAGCCAAATTCCAGTAACCCCCAAAGCAGAACTTAGTGGTAAAAACTGGAACCCAACACTTAAGTCCAAGGATAAATAGAGTTGCTTATCCCCTTTCTACAATCCCACCCAAACTAATTCTTGGGACCTACCCACTCAAGGCATACCTACCAGGAAAGAGAGAGGGAAAGAAAGGAAACAAGGGAAAGAGGAGAGAGAGAAAGGGAGAGAGAGGGAGGGAGGGAGAGAGAGAGAGACTCAGTCTCTTTATCCACTCAGCCATATAAATCTAGGCAGAGAAAGCAGACCGCTAGGACCTTCAGGGGCGCAGTCTGGCTCACCACCTTACCCCCTGGTCTCCCTGAGAAGAGGAAAATGTACCAGAGAAAGTGGAGTTCAAATCCAGCTGCTCTTCAGATTCACCGGAGGAGCTTCAATGAAACACTGGTTCTCTGGGACCCACCTGCTGCCACCCTGATTAGCTAGATCGGCCATGGAGCCCAGGAACCTGAATGTAATCAAGTCCCCTTGCTTGGGAATGATTAGTGAGCCTCTAACTCCCCTCACCTGGTGACAAGGAATAATCATTTGATCAAGGACTGGTGAGTGAGGCAAAACTTTCGGTAACATTGAGGGCCAGAGGAGATGCAGTGGTTTCATGGTAACGTGTCTTCTCCAAGCTCCCAGGATGTGAAAAGTCTCAGGTTGTTGCCCCTGATATTCTGTGCAAGGAAAATACTTGTTGGTTGTCTTTCCATCAATGCCACGGACAACATTACAGTTCATCGAATCTGCAAGCAACCAGGTGGACTTACAGATTGTCAAAGGTGACAGCCCCCCCTCCCACATTTGGGGAGCACCTCCGCCAGCCAGCCCAATGTGGGGGCCCTTCCTCTTCATCCCATCCAGACTTTTAATGCCCCTTAATCACACTTTACTCCTAAGTTGACTATATTTCCATTTTCTGAGTTTAAAAAAAAATGAATTCTTCTTTTACATGACAGTTCTTCAGATATTTCAAAGCTTCTCCGGGGCAAGTCATCCCAGTTTACTAAATGTGGTCTTGGTAGATCTACCTTTAAAGCAACTAATACACTTGAGCCTATCTCTAACATAACTGTTACCTAAGTCATGATGGATGTGAAGGAGCCAGTACATTTATTTAGTTTTTCTGAAGTTTGGTTTAGTTGTATGTGTGTATTTTTATGAGACTATCATCTGGAGGTTTGGGAAGAGGTGTTCTGTTGGAGACACGTTGGGTATTAGGAAGAAATTTGGGGTTCTGGCTCCTTTAAGAAGCTGAGTTGATTCAGGAGAAAAGGGCTAATAGTGCATAAGATAGGAGTGAGCTGAAGACCAAGCACATTCTGTGCAGATCTTCTAAAATGAGGAACTCAGGCGGGCTGGTTGCCCCAGAGACCAGGTCTGAAAGCCCAGAAATAATCGCGGGGTTCCCAAAGCAACAGGGAGAGGGAAAGGAACTCCCTGGCAGCTGTCCCCTGAAATATAATGGTGACCTCTAGGCATAGGTGGCGTGTCAAATACTAACAAACTGGAGGACACCCTGGAGATGAAAGTTAATAGCTTTGCTGCAGCTATTAAGGAAATCAGCTTTCGGTTTTGGGGGGTAAAGGTATTTAATTTGAACATAGTACTATTTGAGGTCACTTGAACCTTTGGGGCTTTATGTGCTTGCAAGATAAATGCAGACATTGATGAATCCTTGGCTGCATGGATAGATGTCCAGTGAAGTGTAGCTTGTTCTAGTGCCTCTGTTAGCCGAGTGCAAAGAGCACTTGACCTGAGGTTGGAGACTGAAGTTCAAGTGACCGGAGGAAGCCATGGGATTTTTTGAGTGCAGTTTCCGTCTCTGTAAAATAAGCTTTTGATTTATAACAACCGGCCTTCCTCTCACATTTCCTGCAAGAATGAAATGAAAAATAAAAACACAAGTCCTATAGAAATGTATACTGTTATCCCTGGTGTAATCATGCCCAAACTAGGCGGGGCCTTTCTTCTAAACTGCCTTAAATGAGAGCCATTCTTGACCGTGGTGTGGCAGCAGCCAAAGAACAGTCCCGTGCTAGGAGTTCACACATCAACAGAAGGGCCTTCCGTAAAGTCTGTGGAACCCCAACAACCTCTTCCTAACACAGGGTGCCTCCCTGATGATCCATGACAGGTGTCTTAGATGCCCTGGGCGTCCAGTAAGGTGAGGCCATCTTCCTCTTGCTCTGACCCACCAGCGGGCTTTCCAAGTGGCCGCCAGTCACACCTGCAGTGCATGAGTACTGCCACGAGGGGGCACTGTGGTGCCTGACACGTGAGGTCCGGACCCAGCCAGCCGCTTCAGGGCTCTGCTACCCTCATCCACAGCGTTGTATTTACAGAGCGCCCAAAGCACTGCTCCTCATGGCCAGCTCTGCCTTTCATTTGAACCATCAGCTCCAGCATTTTGAGGAGCTCCCCCGCTGGGGTGCCAGCTTCTCAGCTGGCCTGCTAAGCATTAAAATGTGCCCTGAAGCTAAGCTCTTGAAGACACCATTTAAGCTTCTCTTTCAGCTAATTAGATATTGTTCTACAAATTGGGCTGTTCTCTCTGAAAGATGAGCAGCAATTTACTTCCCCTGCCCTCTCCTTAAACTTAAACTAAACTGTGAAGCATGGCCCTTGGATTGTTTAGTCCAATCAGGAGATTGTTTTGCAGGAGGAAGAGATATCTATCGCCTTGCTAATGCTGAGCTTGTCTGGGCACTCCTTAGCAGCTCCTGTGACTGGGCACTCATTAGCAGCTCCTGTGACGATGGGGGGAGGCTTGGCTTAGATGCCTCCCATCCCTCTGAAAAGTGGGCCCTACAGTGACATGCTGTGGCCCCTACGTCTGTAATCATCCTCTGAGTAACACGTCACCAGCTGCACTAACACACCCTTGCCCTTGAGGGAAGGACATTTTTATTATCCCCATTTTACTAATGAGCAATCTGATGCTCAGGATAATCAAGCCATTTGCTAAGCTAAACAGACAGGTACGTGGAGTGTCCAGACCAGAAACCAGCTCTTTGGTCCTCAGATCCCATGAGAATGTATATTGTCTGACAAATGCAACATCCGCTGGGGGGAGTGCG